ATAAAATATGTATATATTTTACTGTCACTTAAATTCACTAAACAGGCCTTTATGGTCTGATATGGTTATGGCGTCCGCCATATGCCAAATATAGACACATAGAGGTTGATTTTTTTCATTCTTGTTCAGGTTTCTCTTATGTTCCATTAATAATAGTTATTCATGTATTATTCGGCTTGTACTAGGCTCAGACATCTAGACATGTTTATTCATTTGGGCACAAGGGTTGCCACTAGCGATATTAATCATTGCTTTATATAATAAGTTCCAATTGTAATCGTGTACATAAGACAGATATACTAATAGTACACACGGCGATTTACATCATATTAAGGAGTGAATCCGTTTTGCTTATATGATAATAAATCATGTCACTAAAATGAATTGAACCCAGACCCTTAGATTCGAAAGTAAGCATCTTGACCACTAAATTACCGTACGTCATCTCCATCCGCTATTTCAAATAACCGTAGCAGAATAAATCTACTTTATTTTGTTTAATAATATGAAGAAGTAAGTAACCAATATAACATCTAATGGACACATATTTGTATTACCTCATTCACGATTGTTTATGCCAAGGTGCCGTATAAAGCATATTATAAAATACAAACCAATTATTAACACAATAAACAAATTAATATAGACCTCTTTGCGTAAGTATTAAATTAATTGGTAAATACACCAAAGCATTCCCTCACGGATGTCTAAGATTGTTGAGATGATAAAGCTATGATATGACGTCTATGCTCTGTCGATGAAACACGTGTTTTTATTCATAATAGTCAAGCACTACAGAAACGGAGGAGACTACGTGATTCAACATTGTAGCCAATAAATGTATCGGAAATTAAGTATTATTAAATTGTTAACCGGCAACATTAATTATGCATGCTTACTGAATTATGTCAATTACACTTCACCTTTTTTTAAAGAATATTATAATATGTGCGTTTTATTAATTGAATTGGTACAGTGTAGCAAAAACATGTTTCTCGCTACAAGAAATATATTACTCGAGCACACTCTTGTCAAGGTAACTTAAGATTAATACTGTAAGGATAACTACTCTAACAGCGATTTGAGAACTTTAATGGGGACACAATAAGCTCATTGGTATTTAGGCCTACTTCTTCATTACGTAGGATTACACGTTATTGTAATTATCATAATTATTATAACATAATATTGATGGATAAAAACAAATGATCTGATGAAAGTTTATCAGAACATGGAGGTCAGTCAGTTCAGCGTTAGTTAGTTAATCTGCTATGCAAACATTATTTGGATTGAATTGAAGAATTATAATTTAGAAAATGATTATAAGGAAATTAGTACACATTAAAAAAAAATAAGAACCAGTAAAATCTTGCAGAGACTCAGTGTTTTCGTATTTTTATGCCAATTTTAGGCTCAAAATATTCTTATTGTGTTTTTATTTTACAAAGATCGAGAATTATTATTGTAGCAGTATACGGTGGCGGATCCAGAGGTAATGAGGACCCGCGCCCCCTCCCCCGTCAGTCAAGCCAAAAAAGAAAAAAGAGTGAGAAAAATTTGAGTTAAAAAAAGGAAAAAAGAAAAAAAGGAGTGTACACATGAGTTCAGTGGTGATCCAGCATTGGGGTGAAAGGAGAGGTCGATTATTTGCTACTTATTTACACCAACGATGGTGGGGCTGAGGTGGACTTGGCGACGAGAACTTCATATTGTGCACCCCTCCCCCCTCCACCACCACCTTCAGAAATTCCTGACTAAGGTACAAATAAGACTAAAATTATTTTTGTTCGCTTTCTGGTTTGTTTAAATAAAAACCGCATTTGAAATGTTACTCAGCCTCAATTTGTTGTTCTTATGTTTAAGCAATTTCAGCCTCAGTGTTTTTATAACATGTAGGCCTAGTTGAGATGACGCTTTGTGTTTTAAAATACTGGCCTTCTAATCCTAGGATCCTTGGTCCAAATTCCTTGACATTACATGATTTTTCACACTACTTAAAAACATCTCCACTTCCTAATTTTGAGGCGACTCGAGTGGCAGGGGTGCAGCTAACTACAGCCTTAACATTGGCGTTGGTTCGAACCACTCTTCGTCCAGAGTTCGGTTGGTAGAACCAAGTCTTCTTGGATAGAGGACTAAAAATGGTACACATCTGGTTCGTGTGCACTTTAAAAACCAATTGCGTCTGTCGGAAGAGTAGGGGGTTACCCCGATGATGTGGTTCATTTCAGGCTCTGTCGTTACCACGCCCGTATACGCAATTCAGCACAAAGACGCTGCCAGTCATGGGTTATTTTCCTACCTCTACATGAAAGTTTGTAAAGCATCACATTTTTTCATTTATTTAAGAGAGCCTCTGAATAACAGGTTACCTTTTAGGATAAGCTAGAAGGGTCACCATCTAAAAGTATGGTAGACCTAAACAAGAATTGTATGAATATATTTTGAGAGAAATAACGTTCGCCATCTGAGCCCGTGCGCCTG